GTGTAAGAGAGAAAAATAAAAAAAGTGGTCTAAAATAGGCAACTCTCCCCTTTATAGAGTTCCATGAAGACGACTGGCATTCGAAATCCAAATGTTGATCCGCCATTGATTTCTCTTTGTCACTGTTCAGGACAGCGGGCTCGATCGAACAGACGAAAACGTCGAACGTCAAACTGGGCCGAATTTTGGACGGAAGTCAAAGGGTCGGGGGGGCATAAATACAGTTTTAACGGGGGGATCGTTAGCGTGGGAGAGATAACGGCGTTATCGTCAACCGTGAATCGCCGCCAAGCTGCGCCACGGCACCGTAATTCCATGCGGAATCCGCGCTGGCGCCGTGTCAACGACGGTTCTCTGTGTTCCGCGTGGATCGCACAATTAGGCGCAGTGCACATGTAAGCGACGCGACTAACAGTGGTCGTTTATCCCAAAAAAACTGGCCTTCATTGGGTTTCCGTCAAAATCGGTATTCTTTTGTTTTCAAGGTTGCTGAATTCGAATACCTTGTCAACAATGCAAAATTCACATAATTTTATTTGTCTCGATTTTCATGAAAAATTCACATATAAATTTGAAATCGCTCAATTTGCGACTCGCGATGTCTTCAAAAAATTCCTATTTCGCTAAATCGTCCAACACTGGCACAAATCGCGACGACGTCGAATCGCATTCGTATGCACCGTGCCTAAGGCGATGACACAGGATCATGGTACCGGTCTCACGGCCGCGAGCATCGTTACACGCCAACGCCACGAATTCAGATCGTTTTAAGCGATGATGAAAATGACACCATCGTCCGTTCCCGCCCGGGTCGAACGTTACACGCGCCGTTCCGCTCGAATGCTTGGTTCGTTTCACGAACCACCACCGTAAACCTTCGTCGAAGAGGAGCAGAAGACACTGGGAGAACTGTCTTGAACATTTGAGAACCGATGGTCCTCGTGAAATCGTCGTTATTCACTTTTCAGCCAAGTCTATCAACACCTGTGTGGCGATCGAGGCGTTTAAATTCCGTGAATTTTTCGTGCGATATTCAGCCGATGGATCTGTTGAGTTCAAAGGTTTTTTCCGCGAGGAAAAGTTCTGTGATTTCTGTTTTTCTTCTCTACAGGATGCTGTGTGCTCGTTCGTGATATGTATATCTCTATCTGGTCACCGGTTTATCGGATGGTCGAACGAGGGAAAACACGGTCGCGGAGTGTATCTGCGGTTACGCCAATGGTTTACCGTGTAAACGGGCCATTAGCGCTCGTGACAACGAGGCGTCCCCCTCCCCGTTGCTCAGCAGTGTCTACCTTAACCGGCGTGCGGTTAACCTTTCGATGCCCAACCCCGGGGACGGAATTATAAAGCAACGCCGCGACGTTCGTTGTGCTATTTAGAGGACGACGCGGCTGCCTTTTATTTAACCGTGCCGCGGCCCTAGCTCTATAAACGCGATCGCTGTATTTCGGGGATCGGTTACGTGTTATTGGAATAATACGCGATTCCGCAAGCAGATCGCCCGCCGTGATATGAATCGCACGGAAGAAACTCGAGGACCTGGATTTTTCTTCGATTCGACTCGTATTTACATCGTTCGTAAGTAACTCCAGAGGGGCAGTGAAGTTTAATTCTAAACGAAGTTCAAACTTGTGCGCAAACTGGTGATGGTACTCCTCCAAATTGGTAATAGCAGTACTTTCAATCTGTTCAACTGATAGTACTCGTTCAAACTGTTTCAAACCGATAACACTACTCCTTCAAACTGTCTCAAACCGATAATACTACTCCTTCAAACCGTTTCAAACCGATAACAGTACTCCTTCAAACCCCAAATTGCACTCCTCCAAATCAAGTCCAATCTCAGCGATTATATTCTTCCAAAAGATCCTCAACATTCGGTACGAATTATTGTTGGGAACGACTCGTTAATCTCGATATTGCGAGTGATCCTTCGAAGCTACATCTTGACGAAGAACAATACATTTCGAGGCTTTTGAGAAAAGTCTGGCGAAACGGTTCCCCCGTCGATGCCAATAAAAATTGGCTCTGGTCGGCTCGAGTTCCCCGGGTTTTTATTCGGTGCATCGAGCCCGGGCAGAAAGCCGCCCGAGAATCGGATGAAAGACGAGACACAGACGGTTTGTTCCCCTCGGTGTGGGTTGGCTCGCGGCCATTTCTTCCTCGCGAGGCAACTTCCTTCGAGGAGCCTGAGCACCGTCTCGATTAATAGCCCGCCTCGGGAGTCAATGGGATGCGAAATTGCTTCCCGAATGAGGGAAACTCGTTCTCCTCGCCGCTGCCAGGAACTCGTCGAGCGCGCGGTCTTAACCCACCGCTGGATCGTTTAATCAGCCGGGATTAATCGGTAAATAACCGGGGGTTGTTCGAGGAGCTGGCGAACCCCGAAGAGTCTCTCGCGCGTTTCCACCGGTTCCAACAATCATTCCTATAATTCAGGTTTGGGAATTAACTGCTCTCTTCGACCGATTTGCGGAAGCAACCGCCCCAATTCCTCGATCTACCTTAGTCGCGTACTGTATGAACTGCGCGTGATGTATTAAGGTGCGTATTCAGTTATCGTATTACCGTATCGTATCGGATTTTCATACGGAAAGACGGAAAGCTTGTCCCTGTCCACATTGATACAGAACGATGATACGATACTAGGATATGAAATAAATGGATACGCACCTTTAGGTCGACACTCGTATCAATATGTTTCCATTTCAACCATGGGGTACTAGTATACGTCTTTTTTGTCAGTGGTATCATTCTGTATCTCATGATGCAGTACTCTTGAAAGTCAATTTTGACGGAACTGTCTAATTGTGAGGTGAAGAATACGAAAAAAGGCAATGACATTCGGGACACCCGTTAACGATTTCGAGGTACGATCACTGCCCGCTGGCACGCCGGGAAGATGAAGAAGCACGTCCCTCTCGACTTTCCATCATTTATTCAGAGCTCGTATCAAGTGTCCGTGGTTCGTTCCACTTAACACTAGGGAACATCTTCTCGAGGAAGATGATGAAACCGTAAAGGCGTTTGAAAACTCGTTCTGACTCGGATGTCCTCCGACATTTTGTCCTTTCCTCGAAAATACAGGCACTATAGTTTTTGGAATCGCTGCTGGGAGAATTCGCTCGGATGAAAAGCGATCGTGGTATTGGGGCTATTATGTTAAAAAGAGGCTTGGCTATCTTTTGTCATTGCGACGATCGTGAATGGTAATCGGATCTGCATAATATGGTCGGGGTCGAGGAAAGCGGATCAGGACTTCCTCCCTCAGAAGCAACAAGAACGATCGTCTGAATTACTGCGTAATAACGTGATCGCGATTCGATCGGTAAGGATTCCAGTTAAAAACTGATTCGATCCGTGGTGACTCGGAAGCGACGTTCAATCTTCGAAAAGGGTCGATTCCTCACGAGATCCCCTTATTGGCAGGGTTCTTCCGCCGGATAGGTCGTTCTTATTGGGTTAGTGTCATTTTGTTCCCCTCAAGAGAGACCCTCTTTTAATCCACTTCGACGAAGATAAGGGAACCGTTACAAGGGGTCGAAGCGAAAAAGTCGAGGTGGCGGCGTGGCGACCCACCCCTAAGACGTAACGTCAGTCACGGTTAGGCCACAAGATGTTCACTCGGGTCCCGCAACGAGGACCGAAATCCTCCCCTTTTAAGAGAACGATGGGGTATCGAAGGATCGTTGAACACTTGCGATCGCAGTGCTTAGGAAGTTCCTTGAAAGGGGAGGAAAATGCACAAAAAAAAAAAAACTGTGATAAATCGATTACAATAAAGATTCCACACGCTACTTCATCCAAGACTTATCGTTGTTCCTTAATACCGTACGTCCATTTTTACCAAAGTAGAAAGAAATTAAACGATACTGTCTGGTTAAAAAAAAAAAAGGCAGATTAATCGGTCCGTAGATCGAATAAGTAACAGGTGCGTGATGTTTAGGTAGAGAAGATTCTGGTCCCTCGAGAATATTCCACGGGGCCAAAATGACGTTTCGAGTGTACTACCCGATCCATCAACGGTAAGACACGAGCAGAGGTTCGATCCCCTCGGGGGTGGTAGAGAAATTGAATCGATCTCGGGGATGAGACTGGAGAGCAATCGAGAGAGGCGGGAAAGATAGTGGCCACGATGGGACGTACCGTCGAGACAACGGAAGATTTTACCTGTCGCTGGGGCAAACGGCCGCCATCTAGAGAGGGAGAAAAGATGTTACGGAAGCACACGAAGGGATTTTATTGCTCTGTTCTCCTTCCAGCGTCCTCGGGGTTGGACCGAATTCAACAGCGGTCCAGGTAAAAGAGGAGCAGCCTGTGGTCGAGGGGGTTAACACGGTTCATCCGGAAAACTCCCAACGGAGCTGTGGCCTTCGACCGTCCAACCTTGGTCCCGTTGGTGATTTTTCATCCACGAAACTTTCACGATCTTCTCCTACAGCTTCGTTGCTCGACCATGTATTCTTTTCCCTTTAATTTTTAAATCCTGTTTCTTCCCGCGGTTTTTCCCACGCGTTGACCCTTCCTGTCGTCATGTTTTCACTTCTTTTAGTGGGCCAGCGGAATTTTATGTTTTTGATATGAACTGAGTCTCGTTTGGGTTCTCATTAACCCTTTTGTTCTTTGAAAATGTTGAAAAGGAGGTCGAAAGATATTGATTTACATAGTGTTGTGGAAGATATTGAAAAATTCAACGATAGACCTATATTGAGAATACCTACACCCATATTGCTTCCTCAGATTTGGTGATATTAAAAATTTGTTTGCATAAAAATAATCTGTTCTGTTTCTAACAAATACGGGTCTGTCAAAAGTTACGACAATGGTATGACGGAATTACAGTTTGACCAGGAACTTCTGGTAGCTACTGTATATATATATGGAGGCATCAACATTTTTTAAGTGGCCTCCGAAAGTCTTAATCCGACCCTGAGAGGACAAGTCGTCGGTCGTTTAGACTAGATTAAGCCCGTTTAAAGGGAAAATACGGTACTCACATGTAGCGGAGAGGAGATGAGGAAGGTACTTCTTCCAGAACGTGCACTGCCTCACTCTAGGCCCGTTCCCAATGTCCGAGCTGTTCGTGTCCAGTGTCAGGTACTCTTTCTTCACGGCAGTGTGCGGCGGCCAATACGGCGCTGACCATGACGCGACGTCGCCCACGTTCGGGTCCCTGGCATAATTGTCGAGTCGTGAGCAAACAGAATTTTTCTTTATTTCAGTTCTCCACTGTTCGAAATTTGGAGCATCTTATAAGCAGAGGATGTGGTCTAAATACAAGCTAACACTTTTACTTCAGGACTTGAAATATGTCTGCTTTACGACACGGAGTTGAAACAAGCGTCTTTTCTTCTTGAATCGTCGTTTCACACAAAACACCTTCAATCAAGTGAATCTTTGAAGGGAGGGCAAATACTAACGAGCGTTATTGTTTATCCGAAAGCAAAGTGTGCTCCAAACTTCGAAACAGTGTACGAGAATTCTTGTTATGTAACGAGTGCCGAGTAATTGTTCGAACTGATATTGCTTACCCGGTTCTCGCAAAGTTCGCCCAGTATCTCATCATTTTCTTGGACAATGCCACTTCCTCCTGCGTGTAGTCTTTCGAGGGGTCTAATGGCTCCCCGAAGATGTAGCTGATTTCGTCCGCGTGCATCACGCCGGTCCACCTCGGCCAGGGATTGTTCGCGGATCTGCGCAAACCACGGAAACGTTTACAATTTTTTTGTACGTTATATTAAATTACGAATAATCTCTCGATAAGAAGATAAACCGTCGGTAGAATCTAGATCCTAATGGAATTTATTATTTAATCTATCCCAATAGTTGAAGGACCGTTCAATGGTACACGGTACAGTACATTCGCGATAAATGCCTGCTGGACAAATACTTGTTGGGAATGCCACCTGCTAATCCCAGTCTCTATCGACTTCTGTAGCTAATGATTAGCCTGCGAGGAGAATCCATATGTTATTGACTCTCGATAATTATCCGTTCCTAGAACTGCCCGCCCCTAGAGCCTCAAATGCAGGTAATTATCCCGAGTCTACTGTAATTACTTCTGTGTAGTCGTTGATAGAGCACAGAGGTCGCTTCACGACGACGCACAGTGGTCCAGAATCAAGATTTAGCAGCTCATACACTAACTTATAACTTTTTCACTTGCCATAAGAATAGAATTCCTTTTGTATCTAGTAAACAAACTCGTATGGCAAGGGGTTGAGCTGCCGAATTTCGAATTCGAACCACTGTATCCGTTCAAGAGGTGTCGAAACGGTTGATCGATCCAGAACGGGAATTCTTTCTCTTCCCTCGAACGAGAAGAGGAGCTCACCTGTGCTTGTAATAGTACATGTACACGGTGTTCCCCGTGTCGGCGTAACGGCCGGCGAACTCGTTCACGTTACAGGTGAACTGATAGTCGCCGACGATCTTGTCGAGGGCGTTGCGATTCGCGTGCGGATCGTCCGGGTGCAGCCAGTCGGTGTACTCGTATATGATCGCGTGCCTGCCGAGCTGGCTGACGTACGGGTTCAGCTCGGAGATCGCGTTGACGAACTGTTCCCTGGACACGCGGACGTCCTCCGCGCCGTCGATGCGGAACAGTTCGGTCAGATAATAGATGATAAAATAGAAACCCTCCTCGGTGTTCGAGCCCATCATGATATTAGCTTTCTTGAACGACGACGTGACGAGCGAACGTTGGGGCGTCTCGTCTAGAAACGCGCCGTCTATCACCGGTACGAATGGGAACTCGCAGATCCCCAACGTTCCCCACTCGTTCTTCACGAGATCGATCGGGTCCTTGACCAGCAAGCAATCGATCGCCTCCTGCAGATTGTCACGATCATGGGGACAACCGACCGCCTCCGCCAATCGTATCCCTCGAACGACCGATTCCTCCCGGGAGATGATCGCCCACGGGGCTGTAGGCGAACCCGACTGCATGATCGCCTGGCTGAACAAGTGCCTGGAACGCATAACAGAAGAGATCGTGGAAACGATCCGGTTAGCGGGGGATTCATTGTCACTTTGAAGTACGAGCAGGGGATCGAAGCGACCATCGTTCACAGACACACACACCCTCGGCTACCGGTCATAGGTTTCGGGTGGGACACGTGACACCACCGACAAGGTCAATATTATCGGATGAACGATGTTTTAGGTTAAACGTGCTATCGACGGGACCGATTTGAGAACTTATGATCGGTAGCGTGGATCGCGCGGCCAGGTAGTTTATTGTTATGGCAAGCAAGAAGAAAATGAAAGAAAATATAAGAGTAGGTGCATAGAAACGGAAACGGCGCCCGCGCTCTCTCCGAACAGGGTCACGTTGTCAGGATTTCCGCCGAACGCAGCGATATTGTCGCGGACCCACTGAAGGGCCATCATCTGATCGAACAGACCGGCGTTCCCAGGTACGTCCGACGTTCCGAAGTAGAGGAAACCCAGGCTGGCGACTCGATATTGCATCGAGACCAGAATCACGTTCTCCTCCGACACCAGGGTTTTGTGATCGTAAACGTCGAGGGTCGCCGATCCGGAGTAAAATCCACCTACAAGGATGTCCCGCGATTCCATCTCTCTCTCTCTCTCTGTCTCTCTCTCTCTCTCTCTCTCTCTCTCTCTCTTTCTATCTCTATCTCTTTACGGTTTTCTCTCAGAAGAAAAAAACCTGTGTGTGTGTATGTGTTTTATCCACAACGCGAACCGAGCGCGAGCAATCGACTAAACCGACACGGCTCTCGCCCCCGAGTCTTTTCTCGCTTCCGTACACTTTTGCTTCTTTTTCGAATCACTCGAGGAACAGTAACCGAACAGACACGACATCAGATCCGAAGCTCTTTTTAGACAGTCTTAGAAAAAGTGGCGTTGGAGAAGGACCTCTTAAATTTTGGTATCAGGAATTATTGAAATTTATGCCAAAGTAACGTTCGATTTAATATTTATTTCAGTACTTGATATAAATTTACAGAGTGGTAGGAGGTTTTTCTCTTACGCCACTTTCTTCCACTAGTGGAAGCCAAGTTTGTCGTCTTTTTAGTTTCCGTGAGTCCCAGCTAGGAGCTGATCTCGTTCTGTCAACGCCGCGCGAGTTCTGGACACGAGGAAAGTCAGTCTCGAAGATACATATACAGGGTAGGCCGGAAATCGTAGTACAACCAGGCATGGGTGATTCTACGTTAAAAAAGAAGAAAATATTTTGGTATAATATTTTTTCACCCGGGGCTTCGTTTTCGTGAAAATCGACTTTAAAGTTTGTTCAACTTGTAAACGATTTAGTACAATTTGCTTGTCGTGTATTAGTAGTAACAAAGAATAAAAAAATGAGTAATCAGTAGAAATACTTTGTATCGTTTTATCCACACAATCATCAATGTTTGTAAACACTGTCCAGGACAGAGACAACTGCAGTAGTGAAATACACGACAAGAAAATTGAAAAATAACAAACTTTAATATCGATTTTTGATGAAAGAGAAAATGTTATACCAAAGTATTTTCTTCTTTATTAACGTAGAATCATCCCCTGCGCGATTGTACTACGATTTCCGGCCCACCTTGTATTCAACCGACTGTGTAACATCAGGGAAACAGGTGATCCCATATCTACGCGAAAGAACGACTCTGCCAGTTTTTTTTTCTCGATATTCACGCGACCCCCACCAACACGGACCCCGCCAGCCTCTCTAATCTACGGATACGGACGGAAACAGGTGTCAGCTGGAACTCACCACCGAATATCCATACCATAACAGCGGCATTGGTAGGCCTAGGCCGTGGCGCGACCACATTCACGTAAAGGCAATCCTCGCTGAGTGGGGTGTTCGGATTCCACATGGTCGCACCCGCGAAGTCCCCGAACACCGTGTCCAATATCTGCACGCAGCTGTTCGGCAGCGTCGTCGCGTTCAGAACGCCTGTCCAACGCTCCGCAGGCCTCGGATGCCGGAACCTCAATGGTCCTGCAACAAAATCCCGGCGTCCCCATCGTCTACTCCGCATATACGCGCTAAAAATGGCGTGAACTGCTACTTGTGAATCACTCGTGATTCGATCACGTTCGTTCCCAATCACGGTAATTTTTCACAGTGATTTTTCGTGATCGTTTCTTATTGATGAAGAAACATAATAGTTTTTGGGAATATTTCTAACGTACACCTAAGAGAAAACTCGACTTCCGCTAGGGGAAAAAAGGCCTTCTACCATTTGAATTCAGAAGTTTCTGAAATTTTAGCCAAATTACCCTGCATTTTAACATTTATTTCAGTACTTGAAAATAAATTTACCAAGTGGTAGGAGGCCCTTATCCTACGTCACTTTTTCTCCTAATGGAAGCCGAGTTTGCACGTGTACCTTGGTTCCCTGATAAATGCTAGAAGTACGCGATATTAATACTTGCTAGATATTTAGACCAGCATCCCTCTTGGACACCAACTCCTAAGAGTAGATTCAACGGAACTTAACCTTGGACCAAGGATGGAGCGTTTCCAAAGGGGACAAGAAAATTTCGTGGCGGTTTAGAGGGGTGTTTAGTTTTCTCGGCATAGGGATAATTAATCCAACCTCTAGAATGCCGATCTAGACCAGGAACAAATCGGAACACCTACCGAGAGGTTTCTGCGCGTATGGGATTCCGAGCCAGGCGTCGACCTCCTTTCCCGTGGTGGCAGTCATGGTCTTACCCCTGACCTTGCCCTTCCTGGTCTGCACCACCAGCGAATCGTCGTTCGAATTGAGGGCGGCCGGTCGCGGCAGCTCCTCGCTCGTTCTGAAACCCTTTGCGTCCTCGTGCGACAGGTCCGCGTGGTGTCTACTCCTGTGGGACGGCGAGCACCAGCACACGTCCAGCTGGACCAGCAACGTTACGCTCAGCACCATCAGGGCCTCGAGTATCGTCAAGGAACTTCGGTTTCTTGGCATCGTGTCCTCGCCTGAAATAACCGGAATTTCAATTAGTACCTCGATCGAACGATAAGAGTCGCGTGAAATCGTTACACTGCCGCTCATAAGTTCAGTGAATTTTCGATAACTGTTCGGAAGGATCTATACTCAAAGCGATCCAGAGTTTCGAGCGTTAATCGATGATTCGATGTATTCAGCACCCCTGGTCCCTATCAAGCAAATAGCGATGTTTTCGTGAAACTTTAAACTTGTATATTTTAGGCCATTTTTTGTATTCCGTGGTAGCATAAGCGTTGTCTTATTGTCATTTTTTCACCTACTCGAATTTTTTAAACACTGGAGTGACAAGGAAACCTAGTAGAAATCGCACAGGAGTGATCGAATATGTTAAGAAATTAGAATTGATCGAATCACAGTATACTGCTACTACATACTATTATATCCTCACCCTTTTATTTCGGATCATCCGTTACTGTGTGTTTCATGCTAAAATACCTACAATAGCTATATAAAATTCGTAACGCTATTATTACAGCAAATTGCACAATTCCCCTGAACAAACAACAGTTAAAGAAATCGACACTTTCACTTCAAATATGACCCTGTAATTCCCGCCGAAACAAAAGCAGCACATTCATAGAATCACGATCACATTAAGAGCTCCGATCTATCTAAACTGGCTCTATCAGTCCAAAGATGACAGAGACTCGCCGACTCGTTTTTCAAGCGGACTCGAGACCACAGTGACAAAGCACTCGATTCCTGAAGAAATCTTGTCGCGAGCTCGAACGTGTAAAACAATTGTTTCCGTTTTCCGTTGGGCGGTAACAAAGCGGTACATTTCTCGACGTTCGCGGGCCGTAACCGTGGGACGCACTCTGAGCAATCTTGGAGTGTGGCTTTGGTACCCGGGGCAAAGCGACTCTACCCAAAGCGAGACAGAGAAAGAGAGAGAGAGAGAGAGAGAGAGAGAGAGAGAGAGAGAGAGTACTCTCATTGGAAAGGGGGGAAGGGGATGGGGTTGGTTGGCGCCGCTTTAAATGCTTCTCGCTCGCGTAAACGGAACAGTCGACGGTCTCGTTCCGATGGCAAAACGAGCCCTCTTTGTGCCGCATAGATCGTTCGGAAACGATTGTTACTTTCTTCAGGCGAGGGGGGCGACCACCCCTTCCGTCGACGACTGGGCCACCACCTCCGCTGTCGTCCCGAGGACGCGATTCGGCCGCGTCCCCCTCTCCGATCGATTCCCATTCGACTAATTGGAAATGGTGTTGGGGCTTTGTTCGGGCCGCGTCTACCTCGTCATCGCGTTCCCCTATCGCCTTCCAGCCGTCGAGCCTCCATTGTTTGCTCGACTAATTAACACCGTCTTTCGACGAGTCGATGATGAGACCATCCCCTCTTCCCATCACCCTGACACGTGACGCCTCTTTTCTGACTTCTCTGACCCTTTTGTGGTTCGATCGGCGAGAATACGAATGAGAAACGAAACGCTGAGAACCGTTTAAATACTTTTACGACTTTGGACGGAGATGTCTCGACAGCACGATGTTGGTATTTAGGTTGTTACGAATATTCGAGTAATTCGAATAACAGTAGAATTCGAGTTTGATGTTGAAATCATTCTAATATTCGAATAATTCGAATAACAGTAGAATTCGAGTTTGATGTTCGAATCATTCGAATATTCGAATTATTATACATTGTATCATACAGAATACGTTTATATTAAAATTGATCAACCTTCGATGATGATTACGCGCGACGTTGTTATCGTTAAACGGGTGCATTTATCCAGAAGTTTAAACAGAAATTCTCTCGAACGGTCCTTGTCGTTTAACGAAACGCATCGAACTGTACACGGTGATTCCAATTGCTTGAACCGACTGTTCGTTAACGCTAACAATGCCTCGTCATTCTGTTCGTCTCTGAAATGATTCAACGGAGGCTCTTACCGATAGTTTCGTGCGGCGCACGTTGCTCCAGTTCCATTTAATTCAACTCTAATCCCACCTTTTAATTTTACAAAATTCTTGTTCACTCTCAACCCTCGACTAACATTTTTAGTTTAAAAAAAAAAAAATGATATCTGTTCACGACGAGCATACTCAACGTAAACGTCGAAAGGGTTAATCACTGTTCTAATCCACGTTCCATGCCGGGGGCCGATCTTTCTCTCCACGCGTCTCTCACGCATCGTCTCCGCAAGGAAATATATTGGCCAGTTCTACACGAAGGTCCGCGCGCGTTGATTGGTCATTTCCTATCTGCGTGTTCCGTCTGTGCGCGTTGAAGCGGCGGCGTGCGCGCCGCTACGGCCGATTACACGCAGTAGGATCGAGGTGTTACACACGCGGAAGCGTTCGTGAGATAGAGAGCGCCAGTGCGTATATATTAGTGTCATCGGTAATGACGATTTATTGCCGGACAGCCACCGTCGCCCGTCGTAATTAACTCGCCGTGGCAGGCAGGAGGAAATCAGCTGGTCCCCTGTACTTTCTCACCAAAAAAAAAAAAAAAAAAAAAAAAGAAAAAGGAACAAGAAAAACGAACAGGAAACGAAACTGGATCGGATCTAGAATTTTTTATCACGAATTTTAGACCGACTTCTGGACCACTTTTCGACCATGGTCTTCGACACTTACCCAAAATTCCTTGGAAAGGCAATAGATGCTCCTTCTTTCCTACGGATCCTTCGAAAACAGATCTATTTGTATACCCGAACACTTCCGACACTTCCCGGGGGGATTAACGAACGGGGGAAAAACACAAGTAGGAAGCTGGAGGCCACACACGCGCGGAGCTGGCTTTACGTCGACGCATAGGCGGACACAGAGGGCCGTCGCAGGCCACGGACCAGTTGCTGAAAGTTAGTTGTCCCCATTGTCAGTCGGTGGCAGCATCGTGCAAACGACACGGTGGCTAGTTACTATGATCAGCAGGTTTGATTCCCTTTTCGTCGATCTTTCGGGTGAAAGGGTTATTTCGTGTGATCGAACGACGAGTAAATCGGCAGAAATTATTACTCGAGAATGACGATAATAATCATGATGGAAGTGGTCCAAATGGGATCGAAATATGGGCTAGTTCAAGGGCAGGGTGATGTTAAACATTTCACCCTAACGGGAATACTGTGCAACTCAGAATGAAAACAAGCTTATTTTAACTGCATAGGCATAAGGCAAATATGTTTTGAGATACTTCGAAGTGTTATATCTTACAAATCTTCAATGGATTTTTGGCAATAAGTCCTGAAGGAAAAGTGCTAGCCCAAACTTAGAACACCTTCTTCACATTAGCAAAGAATGAATCTGAAGGCTAACAAGTGCCTGAAGACCTACCTAGGTAGGTCTCAATCCTAGGAACGTAAGACCATGAGGTAAAGGAATTGCATTTTGAGGTAGAAGCACGATTAATTATCTTATCTCGAGTTCTACTGATCCTTCGACCCCAAAATTCAACCTCTTCACTTTTTCCCCCTGAATTGCGTATTCCTTCAGGACAACTGGACATCGAAAGGCAGTTCTAGACGGAGAGAAGCCGTGGTTTATCCTAGCTGTTCGATACAGCCATATCTCTCGGTTTATTTATGCTCTTTGCCAGCCACTTTCCAACGTTTCCTCCTCGCAACCTGTTTCTCGTTTGCGAATGCATTCGTCGACGAAGTTCGTCCTTCGACGAGCACCCTCGACGATTCGATGGGATCGCGTCGGGGCAATTGAAACCCTCTCTCGGCCAGACGGGGTCTTCAAACGGTGGAAAAGAAAAAAAAATGGTGTAACCGTCGTCGCGGCTGGACGAAGTTGACTATCACCGATATCCCTCGAAACGAAGAGCCGCTCGAGCCTCGTCGAAACTACGATCATGGAACAAAGAAACCACCTAGACATTACACGGTATATAGTCTATGACACAAAGACGCTATCCCTGACAATACTGGTCGCGATAGACTTCACTTGACGAACGATAAACGGCGATTCGGCAAAGGAACGGTAGACCATGACTGTTCAACATCAAATCAATCGTTCATCAATTTATTTCTACAAAGGCACACGGTGCGAAAGAAACGTTAGAATCGGGAACTAACTGATCTAGAATCAGCACTTGAATATCTCCGTTGTTGTTAGAGATATGGAAAAAATTTGTTAACAAAAGTTATTCAGTAGATAGAAGGCTAGAATATAGTACTAATAATTTTCTTTACAGCTGGAAGGCTTTCGGAGATTTTATGGTCACCTTCAGTTTTTTGAATAAAATCGTGGATCTTTTTATGCATTAATCGATGCAGTTTGACATTCTCTATAAAAAAGTAGTAACCTATGTACGTCGTAAAATTCTTAGTTCAGAAGTGAATAAGTGAGTGTTAATATTTTGTGACTAGTCGTGTCCACTCACTCATCCTTGAAAATAGTGTACACCGTGTTGCTATTAACACTTGGAATAATTATCGCAAGTGGAAACAGCAAGCAACGATCAGACTAAATAAATTCTTCGAGCTTTCATAGCTGTTATTTCGCGACTTCCCTCAAACGTTATTCCAGATATTCCATTTCTTCGCGCTCCGCTACGGTCTATACAGCAGCCTCTACGTATAAGCTTCCAACCAACAGCTTATTTCGATCCCCACGCCAACCACCGTCGATCCCCTGTGAAATACGCATTACGACGATACGGATAACCCGATTACACGTTTCGACCGGTTTCCGTGCCAGTTCCGATTAACCGGCATCCCCCACCCCTGCTCTGCGTATACGACGTGATCACGAGGAGAAATCTCGCCCATTTACGGGAAGGAATTACGGTATCGCGATGGTTCGTTCGTGAAAATTAACATAAAGAAAAAGTAAAACACGCTCGAACCCTCGTGCTACCACCCACCACCGAAGGATTTCTTCTCTCCCCGGTCTCGTGTCGACGCGACACACGGTTAATTAATTATCGAACGATATATCCGCTTTGTCGAGGGCCATGGCTAATTTATTCACGCGTCTTTCCTCCTGTTCGTTTAAATAATCGTC